AACAGCCATGTGATGTAACTGAAGCGCACATAATATTTTATTGCCTAGAGAGATTTATGGCCCTGTGACACTTTGGCCAGATAAAATGTAACTCAAGACACCACACAAAAAAAAAAAAAAAAAAACTTTTTCAGACTTTGCTTGCTTTTGTCGAACCGAAAAGATTTTCTTCTTTTTAACCAATTCTGGAGAAGATCTCTGCTGGAGATCAGGTCTGACTCTGTTTAGCCCATGCAAAAAAGGTTATCTGTAGTGTAAGAAGGTGCTAAGCAGAGATCTTTCAGTGCAAGCGCGCCTCGGGGAGCGTCTGTATGTGTGTGTGTTCCGCTTGTTTGTGCAGAACTTCAGATGGGGATCACTCTTAATGGTTTTATTGAATTAATCACATGAGTGGGAGACCTATCTTGGCCAGAGGCTGCAGGAGGCCCGGCGTCCTGCCTGTCTCGGTGATGGCAGCCCATCGGAATGGCTTGTTGCTCCGCACACATAGAGCGGGGGCCACTCTTTAACTTAATTAAACGCTAATATGAAGCAGTCAGTGCGTCTGCCTTTGTTGTACGGGGGTGTTGGGACGGATCTGGGCCTCTTAGTGTGTGCTGAAGCTGCTGAGATGTTATTAGTGCAGGATTACACCAAACCCCCGGGCTCTCAGAAAGGAGATGGTGGTGGAGGGGGTCCTGTGATGTGGGACCGGTTGAGGTGTGATCACTGGCCAAAAGATTAGAGCGAGATCTACGTCTCAATCCTGTTGTGTTGACAGATGGAAGGGAAGCAGTGTGGAACCTTAAAGGCTCTCTGGATAGTGGCAACGCTCCTTTACTTATTATTTTTGTGCTGTGGTGAATGAAATATGAGAAAAATTAAACGTTTTAAGCCAGCCGATGTGTACATATCTCTTGGTATACCTTCACATCAGAAATGTGGGATCTTTAGTGCTAATTTGAGAAAGTTTTATTGCTTAGTCTATAAAAATGAAGGCATATGTTTGATGATTGACAGGTCACTCTGCGGTCTGGGTGGTCTTTGCAGAGCTAACGTGGGGGGAGGGATGGTTATGACAGCTTGCATGCCTTCAAGACATTTTTATTTTGTCCTCCTTTAAAAAAAAAAAAAAAAAAAAAAAACTTAAAAAGGGATTGACCATACCCATGTCAGGCATGAATATCGCATCCCCGAAGGTATTTCTGACATGTGGGGCTCCGAGTCCACATGTTCCCAGTAAAAAGAAAAACCATATAGTCTCTAATGAATACAACCTTTCACTGTTTTTTTTTTTTTTTAAATATAATTCTCTTTTTACGGCTCATTTTTGACTTGGTTTACTTTCAATTCTTCACAGACTGAAGAAATATATCAAGTCTCGAAACCAGAGGAACTTCACAGGCGTACTTTAAAAGGCTCTCAAAGTCCAACTGATGTGAGCCTCACAAATACAACAGTCTAAATACAGATTCTTAGATGTGATCGCTGTTGTCCTCGCACACACACCGTCTGGTGGTCTTAGACGTCCATCGCGCAGGGATGTTTACATACCAGACCCTGGTGACCTTTACAAACATCCATTAATTGGAGATAATCACATCTGTTTCCAAAAGAGAGAAACAGCATACAAAATTTAAGCAGAGTAGTGGACAAAATAAAGAGATCCCTTGGACAGGAGATCCCATCATCCCCACTGATCCTCTGCTCAAAATCACGGATGTTGGATTTTCCTATCCACACCTGTTGCCAGACAGCTGAACTCAATGAAATGCAGGGAAGGCCGGGGCTAGTTGTCACACTCTTTACTCCAGTGAGTGTTTCTCAAAGGTTTTTCTTGAGGGGCAGTTTCTGTATAGATACTAAACTTAAAGGTCAACTGCCATTAAAATAACCCATTATCACAGAGGTTCTCTACCTTTTTGACTCCAAGGCCCTACATTGTCCACAACAACAAAAAGGATTTTCCAGGATTTTCTTGATTTGCTGGACAAGAATTGAGGATAAGAATTTTCTCAAATATTTTTTACTCAAATTGTTTTCTGTTTTTTGAGAAGGTGAGAAAGGAAAAATTATAATATGTCAGATCCAATCACCTTTGCGATGATTTTGGCGACCCGAGACAGAATCCCGGATCATAATCCTTTGTGATTTTTGTGATTGCACTGTAAAAAGTGATCAGTTATCTTAATTTAAAAAAAGTGAAGAAGTTGCCTTAAATTATTATAAATAAATAAATATTTATAAAAAAAATGTATAATTCAACTTCATGCGTAATTGAAAAAAAATCAAGTTATGTGAACTTGACAATTCCACATAATTATTTTTTTTCAATGACGCATTACGTTTATTTATAATTTTAAGGTAATGGGTTTTTCTCACTTTTTACAGCATGCCTATTTCGATAACAGCAAAAAATGCCAAAAAAGGAGAAATATCTTGATTTTTAGTTAGTTTGTCTTATTTGAAACACTTTTAAGTCATAATGAGGACCCCTTGGAAGTTTGCTGAGGCCCCCTGGTTGAGAACTTCTGTCTTAAAGGCTATATTCGTGAAACAACAAATAGAAAGGAAATTCATTTTGGCCAATTAATAATATTAAAACAAATTTCATTTTATAAAATGGTTTTGAAATAGAAACAAACTTATAAATCACACTGCTAAAATAAAAAAAAATGTGTGACAACTAGCCCCGATCTCCTTTTTGTTACACCTCAAAAATGCAGTACGTAGACTATACATTTTCTGTAGACATGTCTTAAAAACCAAAGGAGGCACAACGGGTGAATAACATGGGTGTGACAGCCGCTGTTGCATTCAACCATTTTATATTAGTTGGAACGTGGGAAGAAAGTCAGGTCCTTTTTCACCATGTGTCGGTTTGTGCATCCGCTGTGTGTGCATCTATGACTGAAGTTACATTGACATCTGAAACAACATTTACTCACGTCCAGATCACTTCAGCTTCCTCCAGCTCCAGCTACTCATGAATATTTGGATAAGATTGACATTCATAGTGTGTGTACCTGACTTGAAGAGATCAAATAAACTATTACCACGAGTAAGACCACTACTGTGCTTTTCAAAGTTACTATCTGTATATTTTTCTTTTGAAAGCACATAATCTCTATCAGCCAATCCAAATTTTTAGCTGAGCTTTGATCATTGTCAATAGCCTACTTTAGTGAATGGGACAGAAAACATTTACCGTCAAATGGAAGGTCACTTTGCTTGTGTAGCTAAGGCAGATTTATGGCTGGATATATTTAGATGATATAATGTAGATCAAATCTTTGAAAAACACGTCAAGGACCACCCCTCTATGTGCATCGTAAATCTAAAAGTTGTGTGCCATTTAAAGTGTTTTGGGAACAAATCTTGACATTGTGTCCATAATTGATTTGTATTTATTTTCCTTGTTTAATTGGACAAATTAACTGCATTCCTCTGCCACAGTATAGGAGCATTATTGTTGGGGAAGGATAAACAGACGGTGGTCCAGAACAGATTGTAAAACACTAGGATAAACAGTGAACACTGAGGAAAGGATTGAATGTCTGTTTATAGGGAGTATTATGAAGTGCATGACTCTGAAATGACTAATTACATCAGCTGTGTGGATTTCTGGGGAGAGCTCTTAAAACTGTCTCTCGCTCTGTGGGTTCATGGTTGTAATCGGGTTCACATAGCATAGCAATGGGGCGCTTTCAAAAGCTCAATACGTCTCCACACCTTTGGAAAATCAATATGTAGTGGCCAGAGCCCGCCCCAGCCTTTTGGGGGCCCTAAGCAGAATTTGATTTGGGGGCCCCTCCCATGACGCGGAGTCACCTGTGTTTGACGATTATTGACACAAATGTCACGCAATAATGATACATTATAAATGAATAGGTTATGTATTAGGCTACAACAAAATTAATACTTAATAAAAAGAAAATAGATGCCTACTTAAATAAAAAAAGTTTTAACGTCTTAAAAGTCTTAAAACGGTCTCAAAACATATAAAAGAAATTATTTGCTAAAATTATGACAAAACTGAGAAACATAACAACAAGCCTATTGTTGAAAACTAAAAATATTTGGCCTACTATTTCTCAACTGTCTCAATACAGTGTAACTGTCCTCAAAAGCTTTATTATTATTATTATTATTATCGTAAGAGACTGTGTTAGACATTACATGACATAATCCAACAAAGTCTGTTACTATAATACCGGTAATGATGTTCTGGCGCTCGTTGTATGTGTGTATGCAATGTGTTTTTCCCCTCGCGGCTTGCCGTAGATGGGTCGTGCGCATGGGCTGCGTACTTGGTAGGCTACTGGAGTGTTGTATGGCAAGCCGTTTTAGCTTAAATTGTACCCAGCCTTAATCGTCATTATTGCATTTTTACCAGTAAGAATTCTTTACAAGCTTTACAATTCAATTCCTACTAGTATCAATTACAATTATAGAGCTCTCTAATTAAATTCGTACTAATAACAATTACGATTAGAGAGCTCTTTAATTTGATTTTTATTAGTAAGAATATAATTGCAAAGCTCTTTAATTGAATTGCAGAGCTCTGCAATTGCATTAGCTACTAGTAAGAATTACATTAGAGATCTCTCTAAATCAGTTTTTACTAGTAAGAATTATATTAAGAGAGCTCTTTAATGCAATTATTACTAGCTTTGATTTTTACTAAGATTTTTATTACTAGCTTATTACATTCAAGATGATTAAGTTACCAATGACACAATAAAGTCTCCATTTACAACCAGGTAACGTTAGCCTATAATACCGGTATTGTGTTTTATGCATACGAATACTGTAATTTTGCTACTTAAAAGTGATCTTAATGTCTTTTGAAAGTAAAAGTTAATAATATTTCAGTAATTCATATAGAGGTAACGTCAATGGAAGAATTGGAAGGAGCGTTTAGTCTAAAACTATTTTCTGTCATTTGTGTTTCTTGCAATGTTTGTGCTTGTAATATCGTTTTATGTTGACAGACCATGTTTTTACACCAAATATTTCAGCTAATTACTCTGGTGCTGATGCTCCGTGTAAAGGACACAATCTGGCAACTATTGAAGCAAACATAAACCTGCAGAGGTGAATGGACATGGGAGCTAAAGAGCCTTGTAAGTGGTTTTGTAACTTTTGTTGTAAATCTTCATAGAATTACCTTTACATTATAGTAGGCTACAGATTATAGTAATCTTGTTCAAATGTTAGGAAATAATTTTGCTGGTTTAAGAAAGCCAACATATTGTTAACCTATTTACACTATTATTATTATTATTATTATTATTATATCTGAGACATAAATGTTCAACTCTTAACTCCTAGAGCTTTAGTGCTAAAAGCACAGACCATAAAGGATCTCATCCAAAAGACATCCAAAAATGAGAATTAGCCCCTGATTTACACACCCTCAAGGCATCCTATATGACATTCTTCTTACAGACGAATACAATCGGAGTTATATTTTAAAAAATGTCCTGGCTCTTCTGACTTTTAGAATGGCAGTGAATGGCCGTCTATCAAGGCGCATCCATCCATGATAAAAGTAATCCACCACATGACTTATAAAGGCCTTTTGAAGCGAAGCATTTGTGTAAGAAAAATATCCATTTTTAAAACTTTATTGGATTAAGATATTGGATATATGGATTAAGTATATGTTTTAAATTACAGAAACAAAAAAAGATACTAATAATTTATCATATTTTTATTTTCAATAAATTAGTCTTTACATAATTTCTAATTGCTAATTAGGCTGGCTAATTTTGAAACTTTTCAATGTCAATATTGCTTGTGATCTTAATTTATGTGTATTCTTTATTTTTACACTTTTGCATGATCTTCTTTTTTAGGCTATGAGGAAAAACTCTACCGTGCACACAGAGAACAGAGCTCAATGCTGCTAACTGGGGGAGCAGCTGGACAACTAGAAGAGAGAACAGTAGGACACTATTATTAATACAGATTCCTGGATTATTCTTCTGCAAGAACCAAGAAAAGCAAAGACTGATGATGAGTGCTCTGAGCAAACACCGCAGTCAAGACGCATGAGTGACTTTACGGAGTTCTACATGTAATGTTGGGCATTTACTGTACGCAGAACTTCTAATAATTTATGTGGATGCCATTCATAAACCTGTTAGATTTTGATGTTTTAGTTTTGAGATTAATAAAATTGTATGCTTTAACAATGTTATAGCTAAGCATTTTTGGGGGGTTTTAAGAGAACATTTTGGGAACAAAAGTAAAATTCCGCTAAAAACTTTATAAGAAAGTTAGGGGATAATGTTTAAAAATTTTATGATTAAACCTTTATAGAAGGTCATCACAAAACATTTTCAGAGTGCTCTTGGAGAATGTTATGCCATCTTTTAAGAGAACATTCTGCGAACAAAAAGAAAACTACCTGCTGAAAATGTTATAAGAATGTCAGGGAATAATGTTCTAACAATGTTAGCACTAAACATATTTAGAATGTTTTTAGAGAATGTTATTAGAACTTTTAAGAGAACATTTTAGGAACAAAAAGAAAACTACCCGCTGAAAACATTGTTAGAACACTGCATGGTAATGTTCTCAGAACATTTTTAGAACAAAAAAATTCTAGCTGGGATAGTCCACTTTGGAAAATGTGTAGATGTCACGGTTTAACCCCCTGAAACATGAAACTTACACGTTTGCGTTAACACGCTCCAGCCTCTGCCATAACGACCTATTAGTTTTCATTAAACCGAGAAAATTGAATTTTGTTTTATTTACGATCACTGAGAAATGTTCTATTATTTAAAATGCAAAAAAAAAAAAAAAAAAAAACATTTATTATTTTCAAGGTGAAAATGATTCATTTGCATGGATCCACACCGAAGAAAACGTCTAAATCTAGACCCTTCCAGAGCTGAGATATCGAAACTCAAAAATTCGACCCGAAAAAAAAAAAAAACGACAGTGGTACCCCTTTCGTTTTTGTTTTTTTTTGGGCGAAAAATTAAGTTTCTCCAATTTTCTCAAAACTCTGGATTCTGATAGAGAGCCATGAGACTTTAACCTGAGTGCAAAAATGGAGGCTCTAGACCCTTCCAGAGCTGAGATATCGAAACTCAAAAATTCGACCCAAAAAAAAAAAAAAACGACAGTGGTACCCCTTTCGTGTTTTTTTTTTTTTTCGGGCGAAAAATTACGTTTCTCTAATCTTCTCAAAACTCTGGATTCTGATAGAGGGCCATGAGACTTTAACCTGAGTGCAAAAATGGAGGCTCTAGACCCTTCCAGAGCTGAGATATCGAAACTCAAAAATTCGACCCGAGAAAAAAAAACGACAGTGTTACCCCTTTCGTTTTTTTTTTTTTTTTTTTGGGCGAAAAATTAAGTTTCTCCAATCTTCTCAAAACTCTGGATTCTGATAGAGGGCCATGAGACTTTAACCTGAGTGCAAAAATGGAGGCTCTAGACCCTTCCAGAGCTGAGATATCGAAACTCAAAAATTTCGACCCGAAAAAAAAAAACGACAGTGGTACCCCTTTCGTTTTTTTTTTTTTCGGGCGAAAAATTAATTTTCTCCAATCTTCTCAAAACTCTGGATTCTGATAGAGGGCCATGAGACTTTAACCTGAGTGCAAAAATGGAGGCTCTAGACCCTTCCAGAGCTGAGATATCGAAACTCAAAAATTCGACCCGAAAAAAAAAAAAAACGACAGTGGTACTCCTTTCGTGTTTTTTTTTTTTCGGGCGAAAAATTAAGTTTCTCCAATCTTCTCAAAACTCTGGATTCTGATAGAGGGCCATGAGACTTGCACCTGAGTGCAAAAATGGAGGCTCTAGCCCCTTCCAGAGCTGAGATATCGAAACTCAAAAATTCGGCCTGAAAAAAATAACGACAGTGGTACCCCTTACGTTTTTTTTTTCGGGTGAAAAATTAAGTTTCTCCAACCTTCTCAAAACTCTGGATTCTGATAGAGGGCCATGAGACTTTAACCTGAGTGCAAAAATGGAGGCTCTAGACCCTTCCAGAGCTGAGATATCGAAACTCAAAAATTCGACCCGAAAAAAAAAAACGACAGTGGTAACCCTTTCGTTTTTTTTTTTTTTCGGGCGAAAAATTAAGTTTCTCCCAATCTTCCCAAACTCTGGATTCTGATAGAGGGCCATACGATTTAGACCTGAGTGCAAAAATGGAGGCTCTAGCCCCTTCCAGAGCTGAGATATCGAAACTCAAAAATTCGGCCAAAAAAAAAAAAACGACAGTGGTACCCCTTACGTTTTTTTTTTCGGGCGAAAACTTAAGTTTCTCCAATCTTCCAAAAACTCTGGATTCTGATAGAGGGCCATGAGACTTAGACCTGAGTGCAAAAATGGAGGCTCTAGCCCCTTCCAGAGCTGAGATATCGAAACTCAAAAATTCGGCCCGAAAACAAAACGACAGTGGTACCCCTTACGTTTTTTTTTTTTTCGGGCGAAAACTTAAGTTTCTCCAATCTTCCCAAAACTCTGGATTCTGATTTAGGGCCATAAGACTTAGACCTGAGTGCAAAAATGGAGGCTCTAGTCCCTTCCAGAGCTGAGATATCGAAACTCAAAAATTCGGCCCAAAAAAAAAAACGACAGTGGTACCCCTTACGTTTTTTTTTTCGGGCGAAAAATTAAGTTTCTCCAATCTTCCCAAAACTCTGGATTCTGATAGAGGGCCATGAGACTTACACCTGAGTGCAAAAATGGAGGCTCTAGCCCCTTCCAGAGCTGAGATATCGAAACTCAAAAATTCGGGCCGGAAAAAAAACGACAGTGGTACCCCTTACGTTTTTTTTTTTCGGGCGAAAAATTAAGTTTCTCCAATCTTCCCAAAACTCTGGATTCTGATAGAGGGCCATGAGACTTAGACCTGAGTGCAAAAATGGAGGCTCTAGCCCCTTCCAGAGCTGAGGTATCGAAACTCAAAAATTCGGCCCGAAAAAAAAAAAGACAACAGTGGTACCCCTTACGTTTTTTTTTCGGGCGAAAAATTAAGTTTCTCCAATCTTCCCAAAATTCTGGATTCTGATAGAGGGCCATGAGACTTAGACCTGAGTGCAAAAATGGAGGCTCTAGCCCCTTCCAGAGCTGAGATATCGAAACTCAAAAATTCGGCCCGAAAAA